TAATTGTAAGTGTTCCATGATTGCAATCGCACTCATATGCACTTACCAATAACTTCGGCACGGCTATACGTAATGGTGACAGCTGAAACCGACAGATCAGCCTCACGCCTTTGAAGCACTCCGATAAGTCCATTCCATTTTCCTGTTTCATCCTTAAATAAGTAATCCGTTAAAGAGAGGCAATGAATACTTCACAACCTTTTAAGCTACCATACTGATCCATGGCATCATGATAATCCGAGCATCCAAAATAAACATCAACACAAGATTCAAGATTTTTGTTGGATCAAAATTGATCTAAATCACTGCGTCTGCTAACCTCAATCCCATAAGTGCCGTCCAAAACCTCAATAATTTTGAAATCGAATTTGAGGATTCTTGACATTTCAATCAACAAATCAATACAAAAACCCTCGTAACCAATCGCATTGCTCGTTGTTTTCATCACGAACGGTTCTTCCTTTAATAAGTTTTCGCATTTATGAATTCATACCGGCTAATTTGAAAAATATTCAATCGAGGCAATCCAGCAAATTATGTAATGATGCGTGATTTTGATGCGTATTACGCATTTCCATCCATGCCACTATTGTTACATTGGTATTTTAATTGGTACCATTACTATCGGCATTGTCATGATTTTTATTATTAATAGAACTGCTACTATCAATATCATCATCACTACTGCTTTTTGTTAATATGCTTACTAATATTACTATTACTATTACTATTACTGTCATCATTATTGTTGTTATTATTATTACTATTATTATTTTTATTTTCATTACTATTCTCGCTGTGTTTGCTATTACAACTATTAATACTGCGATATTAATATTATAGTCAGTGAGACTGTTTCGGTTCTGGTGATGGCATTGTCCTTGACAATTTGCGAATAATTTCATCATCAATTATCAATTCAATTTTTGAAGTACATATCCAGCGATGGGGAACGATAACGTTGAAGAATAGTTCTCTGATTTTGAATTTTGCTCTGAAACGTGTTCACTTGTTGATCATTGGATATGCTCTATGACTTTGGTTTTAAAACCGAAACATCGCAAAGCCGCCAATTACAACTATTTATAAGGTTGGAAACGTAAGGTTTGTAAGGTCGTTAGCTAACAACTCGACCAACGTCCAATTTTTTAAAAGATATCGTTCAGAATTGAGACAACTTCGAATTTTCGAAACTGATGACTTCCTCAGCAATAGATAACGAGCTGCTCGAATCGTATGTCGTTTCCCAATGAAAATTATCCAGCTTTCGGCCATTATCCATGTTGCGTTTATAAATTTTTCGAAAATTTTAAAGTTTTTGGCCAATACTTTACTGTGTAAATCATTTACAAAATTGATCACTTTAACGTCACATTCCAAGCATTATGGGTGGATCAAACGACATTCCAAATGATCTCACTGTCGTTCAACGTCATCGAGTTATGCTATTCTTTTCCGTCAGTATGTGAACCACCAAAATTTTCACCATTTTTGGGTGCACAACTACTTCTAATTGGTCCTTTTGGTTGTCTCGAACGATATGATATCTTTTTGACCAGCAAGATCGAACTTGCCGATTATTCCATTCGAGAAAACCTCATTTTCACCAGCAATACCACTAGTAAATTCTCCTGCTAGGATCTCATTCATGTGTCTTACCAAATAAACGACAACGCGCAGCGTTAAACCTTCGAGAGTTTCTGCGTCCGGGTCGATTTCGAATTCCCATTTGTTCTGAAAACGTTTGTCGAACACCCATCCTCGTTTTTCAGTCCAATTTCCAAGCTAAAAAACACCACTGATAAATTGAAAATGCATCATGATGATGTCTAAAAAATCTTATGTAATCAATCTTAAACTATCTAAACATCATGATATTTGAAACTAGCTGAATCACGCACGTCATCATCTCACCGGACAATCAACAAGATATAAATGATTACAGCGTCATGACTGGACTTCGCCGAATTCGAACTCGTCTAATTAATCGACGCAAACTGATCACAAATTTACGTCATTCAGATGATGTATTGTGTGGGGAGCACGATTTCCTCGAGTGAAAAATTCATCGCCAAAATACAATTTTTACAATCAGATCGCTAAAAAATTATTTTTTTGCGGGTGGGAGGGGGTATTCGGTAATTTCAGTCGAAATGACATCATTTTTACGTTGACGAGTTCCAGTCCCTAATTTATTCAAGTGTTGGAACCAGTTTAGGTTCGGTTGTTTTATTGTCTTCTTATTATTGATATTAATGACAGCTTCTATTTCGATCCAGTCACATCATTAGTCATAGAATGACAACAAGACAACGACGATGTTTCTTCACTCAAAATAAGCAGACAACTCTCTAAATGGTATTAAAAACAAGTAATTCCTTAACGATTAATCACAAAAAAGCGATCACAATAGTGATTGAAATACTATTGATAAAAAGAATGCTAATAACATTGTTATTGTTCTACACCAAAAATAACAATAACATTGTTATTCCAATAGCTAATTTTATCAGCAACTAAACTAACAACCGTAATAACAACGGTTATTATAATAATATCAACTAAAATCTAATGGGGTAATCGAGACACAATAACAACAGATTTATCAAAATAATCACTAAAATAACATGTCGAAGCCGATTCACATCACGTTATCAGTTTTGTAGATATATTCGGGATAATACAGATAATACAGTGATAGACAGCTAAGTTCATGCTTTTACTATCATTGATAAGGTGCAAAAGTAATTATTACAGAACTGATGATGCTTAGATAATTTCCTTCAGCAGTACAATCTCAGAACAGTTTGAAAATCAGCTATCTTTACTCTTTTAGAGCTGCTTACTGCTTTGATCCATCAATTAACTAATGGTTGAACAGCAACTATAAATTATAATTAACGCAGAAACTATAAATTAAAAATTAAATATAAAAATTAAGTCGTTCTATAAAACTTCTAAAACAACTGTATGTTCTACAACTATAAATTAAAAATTAAGTTGTTCAGGCAAATTTCAAACTTGCAATCATGATCACTCTCAAGTTAGTCAGATTTTGTTGAAAAAACTTCTGCTAGTCTTTTCTGGTCCGTCCATAGCAAAAAAAAGCAACATTTTCAAAGTTGTCGTCATTTTATGTTCAAATTTGCAAACGTGATCATTTGATCAAAATGATTCAGGTTGTTCGCTGATTCAAGTTGTTGATGTTTTTGTTATAGTGTTCTTAAAATTCCAGTTCAAGATTTACCGCTTTTCAACTCGGCGAATTGCGGTTATGTGATCGTTCAGAACCAGCTTTTTCAGCACTCTTTCCCTGCGATGAGTCAGCAAAATCACGGTCAAATTCAACTTGCAAACAAAAATATTTTGATTGCTATTTTTATCATCCGCAATATTGTTGCTTTTGTTAATCATTACCTTTTGGTATTTCCACACAATGAAAACTCGGTTTTTTTGGTGTCTGCAGTGATCAATTTTCTGAATTCTTTAAGAAATCATGTGAAGGATGTTTTTTGTCCTTTCCTGCCATTGCTCATCGTCGACTTTTTGCTCATTT